TATATATATATATATATATATATATATATATATAGAGTAAAACATGGTATCTAAAATTCTAATCAGCAGAGGGGGGGAGGGATAAGAATGGAGGAGCTATTTAATTAATTTCGCTATTGTCAATTGTCTTAGGAATCTCAAGTCTGTTTGAGACTAAATGAACACAGTCAATCCATATTCTAAATGTCTGGTTGGTTTTCATTCATTTGTTTACTTTGAAACACTCGCTATCCTTTAAAAATTATTTTTTCTAAACAGCTGTCTTAAAACAACAGTGTTTTTTGTGTGTGTGTCTTTGAGGGTGTGTTTTGCCAACATCCACCTTCATTTCAGGCCTGCTCAATAAACGAAGGCCTGTGTTTTTGAATTTAGGTTTAAACAAGTAGGGTTAACTTTAAAAAATCCTTGGGTGTATGTTTTTATGCACATCCTCCTCCAGCATTCGGTGCCCCAGTATTTTAGATGTCGGTTTCTGAGCACCAGGGTAGCATTTATAATCATGAAAGCAAATCCTGGGAATTTTTACAAAACACCAGCCTTAATGGAGAATTTAACCATTTCCACAATAGATTGTTATGGTGGCCACACCTACCGGAAGGCAACCTGAACAAAATAGTTCTGCCCAATTCCTAGTCCCCCTAAATGTTTTCATGCATATTCATCTCTAATATATCCCCGCCCCCGGCAGAAAAGTACATTTCCAAATCAAAACACTTGAGTTATAGCCAGACATCATTCCTAAAATACCTGTTACGCTCAGAGTATTTTTTGTAAATAAAAGTGGGAGGGGATTGTTTACTTGGAAGCATGCTAGTTTCCAATGATGATAATAATAATATAAGCATCTTCTTAAAAAGCCAGGTAGCTCAGGAAACCTGCTGGGAAAAGGAACATTATTATGTAGTCTCCTGCTGCTTACTTCTTACCATCTTAGTGCCATCTTGAGCATAATTGAAAAATAATTTTGATAAAAATTATTATGTTATGATTAGATCCAGTTTATTTTATGTGCATCAAAAATAAAGTCTTCATCAGATTTTGGGTCAAAGAATTTGTCCCAAAGTAATAATGCCTATATACATACATATGTTACATATTTATTGTGTAACAGATTAACACTCTGATTATTAAAGAGTGAAAAAATGATGTGGAAATATGTCTTTATGCAATAGAGCATCTAAGATTAGGTTTATTTATCTGTATTGTAAGATACAATATGATTTAATCAAAACCAAAGTATTATAGTTTTTATTTATATCACTGTCAGGATGATGGTTTTTATATATATATATATATAGTTCATTTGTTGAGTTATAAATTTGTTATCCATTTGATATGATTTTGAATATAAAAAATAAAATTCTATAAATATGCAACAGTGTATATCGATTATTTTTCCTCCGGGAAAAAGTTGCTCTGTTCACTTTTATAATTAAACATTTTAATCCAGTAAAGTAATTTTTCACAAACTCTTATTTCAAAATAAATTGATTTTCAGATGCCATAAAATCAACAGGCACACTGACAATGTATTTTATATCGCATCCAACACATTCTGAAAAGGGCTTCAAAGCTTCTGTGGTTATTAAAAATTAGACATTATAAATCACTCTGGAAATTCATTTCAATATTAAAGGATTTGTGGACTAAGTCTTAAAATGGTAAATTAAGTGCCATCAAATCATTTTTGACTCCTAGTGACTACTTAGATCAGGGGTCCTCAAACTAGGGCCTGCAAGCCAGATATGACACAATGTATCTAGCCTGCACAGTGGTGGGATTAAGCCATGTACCTCACCTTCCACTCACTCCTTGCATTGCTGGGTGTTTCCAGAAGCTCCCCTGCCTAAGCGGGGAGGGAGGAGAGCACATGGGGGAGCGCACGCTCAGAGCCCTTACAAGGTGTTTCCAGAAGCCACCCTGCCTAATCGAGGGCGGCTTGCTTTACCCTCCCGGATGTCACTTTTCCTGCACAGCCTGCATGTCACCTGTGTTGTGATGCCTAGCCTCCCCACTGGTTTTGGGCTCTCTGCCAGCCAGGTGATTGTTGGTGCGCTGCTCGTCTGGACGTCAGATTGTTGTGGTGCCTTACCACCCACCACCAGTTCATGGGTTCTTCCCCCCAGCCCCAGAGAAAGAGAGATAAAGAGAGTTTAGACAAAGAGATATTTGTTGATTGTAAGCTCTGTGGAGATGAGAAGAATTGTTGCAAAATTAGAGTTTTGAGTCACATGCCCACCCAGCCAGCTCGCCCCCCTCCCAACAATCTGAGAGACAATGAATTGATCCCCTGTTTAAAATGTTTGACGACCCCTGACTTAGATTGATGCATTCTTAACCTGGCTCTCAATGTAATTATTGCTACTGTAATAGTGTACAACCACACAGCTGCTGGTTGTTCCATTTTCTTCCATCTTTCCCAGCATTAGAATCTTTTCCAGAGAGCTGAGTCACATAATGCGTCCAGAATAGGATTATATTTCAGCCTAGTTAATTGTGATTCAAATGACAACTCTAGGCTGTTTTGTTTGATCCATCAGTTTGTTTTCTTGGCTGTCCACAGTATTCCAGGATTTTTCTTCAACACCAAAGTTCAAAGGCATCACTAGTCTTCCTATCCTGCTTCTTTAATGACCAACTTTCTCTTCCATACGGTATGGAATATCATGGCTGTATGGTAAACAGTCTTATGTTTCACTGAACAATTGGATGATTCAGTGGTCATTACTGTAACTGCTTTTTGGAAAAATTAGAATAAATTTATGATTTAGTAAATCATGAATTATGTGGTAACTAGCAATAATACTGCAATTAACTCAAACATTTGAAGGGGTAGTTTGAACATAGATAAAGATAGATAAAGATTGAGGTATATTTTACAATATATTGTATCTCAAGATACTATTTAGATTGATTTTTGGTATTATTAACATGCGAGAGCCAGTTTGGGATAGTGGTTAACGTGTCAGAATAGAACTTGGGAAATTCCAGTCCTGCTTTTGGCATAGAGCCAGATGATGACTTGGGCCAGTCCTTTTCTCTCAGTCCTAGGAAGGAGGCAATAGCAAACTACTTCTGAAAAATCTTGCTAAGAAAACTAGGAATTGTTCCAGACAGCATCTGAGAATTGGCAACAACTAAACAGAAGAAATATTATTAACACACAGTATATATTGGTACTGTATTGGAACCATATGAAGTATATATTGACTACTGTATAATTTTCTATATTTTGATAAATTTTAATTTTTATCTGCTCTTTTTTAAAGAGGTGAGGTAAGAGAGCACCTACTTCAGGAGTGTCAACCTCAATTTCATTGACGGCCACATCAGAGTTGTGTTTGACCTTGGAGGGCCAGGGCAGATGTAGATGTGGCCAGCTCAGCATCACTCGTGTTGGGCTGCCTGTGGTCCGAGTGCTCTGCCAGTTAAAGTGGGTTCCCAAGCTCTGTTTTCGGCTGTGACAGCCTCTTGTAACCCTCTGCCAGCAAAACAGCTCAGGAGGGCTGCCTACACCACTTACATGCTCCATTATCAGCTGAGATAGCCTCCTGCAATGTTCTGCCAGTGAAAACAGAGCTCAGGAGGACTGCCCACAGCCCTGCCGAGCTCACCGTTGTTCAATCCTTCGCTGTTTTCAGTGCATCCCCCACAGGCCAGATCTAAGAACCCCGTGGGCTAGGTCCAGCCCCCGGACCTTGAGTTTGACACACCTGACCTATTTTTAAAAAGTAGGTCAAACTATGGTTGTCCAGTGTACTTAAACACAAAGAAAAATATAACAATATTTTCCATCAAGATGAAACAGGCTCTATTTTTAAAGATGTTTTCAGAATAAGATTTTATAGCAATGGGGATAACTCATGATCCAGCAGTAAAGATGAAGATTTGGATTTATGGGCAAGCTTCCAGCAAAACTTTATGGCAAGATTTATGGGCAACCTTCCAGCATAGGGCTCCATAAAGTTAAATATTGCAGCAAAAATAAAAGTGGAAGAGAGATTAAAGAAATTCAGCATTCTTTATATTATTCTTCAAATTATGAAAACGGGGCCACTGCTCTTATTGATCTAATCCTTGAATTTAAATTCTTAACAAATATACTGTAGCTAATTTCATAAAAAAGAATTCAAATTTAAATTTTGTAATGATATTTTCACATTTGCTGGAGTATACATGACCTCTCGTACTAAGGAGATTCAAGTAGTTATATTTAGGTATATGGGAAATCTTCATGGAAATATTGAAAAATAAAGAAAAATATGTTAACTATTTTGACATAATAAAGCAACGTTTTGCAAATTTTGCCCGTATTTGCATTATAAAACCTAGATTTGTGGAAGTATTTCAACAAAAAATCTTGCCTCAGAAATATTTATTATTAAAGTTGGCAGTTCCAAAGTATGCTACTTGTCATTCTAAGTATTTCCTTACAAATACATATATCTATTTAACCATAATATAACATCAATACTTATCAAAGCTATTGAGGAAGCTTCATCAGAAACATCCAAAGTCTATAACAGAATATACAGGTAGTTCTTGACTTACAACAGTTTGTTTAGTTACTGATCAAAGTTACAATAGCACTGAAAAAAGTGACTTACGATTGTTTTTCACACTTACACCCATTGCATCCTCCCCATGGACCCCACATAATCAAAATTCAGCTTCTTGGCTAGTTCTGGGGATCATG